GCGTTAGTCCAAGAATAGGAGGAATGAAGAAAGAAAGAAACGAGGAAAGAAAAAGGGGAATGAATAGGTTAAATTTGATAATTATTCAAGACCAAATTGACACAGAAATGCACATTAAATGCTGCAAAAGTTCAAAAAGTTTCTAGAGGAGGCCCCTCGAACCCCCTTGTTGCCCCCCCCCCAAACTGGTTAGTCCAAGAATAGGGGAATGGAGGAAGAAAGAAGAAACGAGGATCGCTTACATTCCATCATTGTTCATGACCAAATTGACTCAAAAATGCATATTAGGAGCTTTAAAAGATCAAATAGTTTCTGGGGGAGGCCCCCGAACCCCCTCGCTCATCCCCTTCGAGATGTCCGAATCCGCCTATGCTGCCTTTCTTGTACATCAGTTTTTCAGCCTAATGTGGGAATCAGCCAATCAACATATTTAATGGATTAAATCAATCGATTGATAAATGTTCGGGTCATTCAGAATTCAAACTATAACCGATTTTCCAGATATTTTCCAAATGACATCCAATTTCTTGATGCTTTTAAGATTTACACACGGTGGACGCACACTAAATCAATTTCCAGTAAAATGAATTTTCATTTTCGATCTCCGGGCGCACTGCGATTGCGGCTCGAGCCGATCCTATCGCAAAAACGCGCTTGCGCGCACGGATTATTTACGTCGCATCCGCCCTCTCCCCCCATCCGGGCCACCCACGCCACCCCCGCGAAACCCACTCTTCAAGAAGGGAGGGGGGCAGTCGGAACGGCGGGGATGATGACCACGGAGCGAAGCGCAGCGCGGCTCGGCGGAAACGAATGCAGAATAAGGCGGCGTTGCCCAATTTCCCAATGAAATAACCAGTTTCTGAACTCGCAGTGATCCGATATGAAATCCCTAGCAGGGAAGGAAAAAATCCCTCGATTTCGCTGAAAATCCCTAAATCCCCAGATTCGCTCAAATATCTCCAAAAAATCCCTAGATTTTGCAAAAAACCACCATTTTTCACGCAGAATCATTACGTCGTTCGATGTATCGA